GCAAAAGTCTGCGGTGAGCATCGGCATAATCTCTATTTTATTGCAATGTCATCAAATGTTCACGTTTTCAAATTGTACTTTATATAATTTTTGTGGTTGGCATCCCTGTATTGTGACAACCAATTTTAAATTAATCTTGCCAATGCCAGCAATTAATTACGTGGTGATTTGGTTACATCTTTCTTGAGCCATGCTATTCAATATGTAAGAATTCAAACGCAGACTTAAATTATTTGAGAGATTTTTTGTTTGACTTAGGTTTAAGTGTGACATCACGATCGTGATGTGATTACTCTTAATGTAGGATATGAAACTTTGTAGTATTTAACCAGTTAATTTTGATGTTTAATTTCTTATCTCAAGGAAGCAGGAGCGGGAGTGATGTACAGTTTTAGATTAAGTAGTTGGGGTGTAATAGGATGTGTATTCTTTGAAAGGACAGCTGTCATTGTTTCCTGTCTTTATTTGTACACTGTACTTTTATAAAGACGTTACAACAGTTATTGAATTTAATATGAAACTTAAGGCTGCAGGCATTTGTTTTCAATTGTAATTGGACGAGTTATACGTGACTCCTCTGCCAGTATTTCGGCATTGTTCTTAATCAATGTTGAGGGACTGGTGCACTAACAAAGAAATGAGATGAACTGGCATACTTTATTTTTTGTAGGCTTAAGTGCTATTACTTTTTATTTGCACTATTTTTTGTGTGTTTGCTCCATTTGGAATGGGGATCTGTGCAAATCTCATATTATTTACCCACTGAAGTTTGAAATAGTTCACTTTTTAGACCATATAAGTCGGCCCAAAATTTTTTTGAACACATTGTTATGAACGAATATTATATTTTACACTATTTTATTTGAAACATTCGATAAATTGAAAACTTTCAGCAGAGTAGCGTATTCAAACAATTACACCCCAGTGAAGTGTGAAAAACCTAGTATTGATCGGTCATTACGTCTCTAAGTTGTATTTAGTAACTGATGCTCTAATTCAGACTAAATACAGTGAACCATTTCAAGTTCTGTCGGAGGTCAAGGAACATGGTAAAAGATATGTTTTATTGTATTAGCCTATATGAAAGTAATTTACAAAGTCCGATCAATTATGAAATTGTATGGTCGCTTTTCTGATACGGCAGCGAAACTAAAATAATCATACGCCTAGATTTAAAATTCTCCATCCTCTGCTCCTTCGTCGTAGATTGTGATTACTTTAACGTTGGTAGGAGTGGCACGAATTTGCGTGGAATTATGTTTAAAATTGTATGAAACTTTAAAAAAGGAAATTTGCATTATCTGTAGTGTAATATGTTAAGCTCGTCGTGTCCACCAAAGAATGGGTGTGTAGAAACCTACGTTCTTACACGTAAATTCGTAAAGAACTGGAAATAAATTACCATTTTATGCATTAATACAACTTGTGACAGGACATGCTAGGTTGTTAGGAATGACCGGCAAAATTTTCTCGTTTTGTTGGAGTCACGTGCCGGTGATTGTGTAAGAACACACTTCTTACGTAATAGTGGTTCAAGTTCAGTGATGGGCAGAGGACGGAGAAAATTCCAGTTCCTGCTCTGTGTACTTTCATCTTCCTGTGTTTGTTAAACAAACAGCTGCCTTTAAACAATCATTTTAATAAGTGTTTGAAATATAGTTAGCATTAAAACTTCTTCAGTGAGACGGTAATTGAGACATATCTTTGCAACATTGTAATGTCGTTTGAATGTGTCATTGATGCATATACAGATTGAACCACTTTTATGTAAAATGATGAACGTATTTAGTCGATTAGACTTCACATACTGGAATTGATGGCTTATCTTTTATGCATCTTCCAAAAAAAAAAAAAAACGAAATCATAATTTACGTATACAAATTTTTTTGGCACTGTAATAGGAAAACTTTGTTTTAATCTAGCTTAATATTACTAATGTGTTTATTAAACACCCTTAATCTTTTCAGAACATTAGGAATGTAGACTATTTGAACATTTCTACTGCGAAAATGTGTGTTTAACATGTTACATGTGGTTCTGCTGAACTGGTCCAGTTCCATTTCGGCCTGTAAAACATTATTTAGTGTCCTTAGATGACGCCTGGTTGAATAGACGGCCAGTTCCACAGACTTTTATACTGAATATTGGGTTCTTGAAAGGTGTCCGTCGTCATATGAGAATTTGTTTGTAGTACGTCGTTACAGTCGTGTGAAATCCGGATGTTACAAGAACAGAATTGCTGACCTTGTGGGAAAGACAACGCTTAACGCGCTCATCGTGAAACTGACCGTCAGGCAACTCAGGGGTTCCCGCGGACAATAGCAATCATCGGGTATGTTGGGCCCCGTACCTCCTGTGTTACTGATCGCAAGCAATCGAAAATTGAATTTAATAAATTAGGAAGAAGTTTTATAATTTCAAAACAGTGACCTCAATAACTTTGTTTTAATTGTTACTAAGTAATTATTAAAATAAGATTTTGTCAGTTCCAATTTTATAATTTAATTATGTTGATGGTGTTGTATGATCTAAGATTTGAGTTATCAAATTTTACTTGTGTTGAAAGCATGTCACTGATAGCAGACATTCCGTAAATGGACAATGAGGCTGTTAAACTAACAGGAAAATCAGTGTAAAACCTTAGACGTACCAGATAGTTCCTCATTTCTTGTTAACGTCTAACATGCTTTCAAAAAGTGGGTTTGAGGTAGAAACCAGTTTGCTAGGCCCTCACAGTAGATGTTATGAATTTCATATTTATTCTGATGTGATTTGGGAACTCTTGTTGTTGAAACCAACCTGTTTTTACTGATCCAACAAACTTCCTTCTTTAAGCAGTAACTTTATCTCGTTAAGTCTAATACGAGGTTCTCAGGATATCGTGTCAGAAGGTTTTGCTTTCCAACCAACAAGTTTGCAATTATATATATGTGTACATTAATATCATAATAATAAAATAAATACATTTAATACAAGATGTGCTGTCTATTTTGAATGGGCATTTTGTGTTTATTTTCAATTATTTTGAGGAAAAGCCCAGCCAACTCAAAAGTGTTTATGAAATCTTAAAAAAAATAGTAAATAAAGATATGAAAACATCCTGCAAAACCGGCTGATGTGTCAGTTTTTATTACCAGATTCCTTCATTCTTTTTGATGACAATACCTTGTGTTTTTCATTCATGTTTCTCCCAGCCTATTGGTTTCCAGGTCTCGTCTCTACCAGTGTTAGTACTTTCGAGTATCATAATAGACCTATATGGGTTCCAGTTTGTGCGTTACTTTCCAAGGTTGAGAGCATTGGTGTACGACATCGCCTTGTGAGACTGGTTAAACTTTACTTCACTTTCATAAGGTTGAATTATTCGTTATATAGGATAAAAAGAAGTCCCTGCACACGACATTACTTTAAGTGGTGCACGTGAATTGTCATGTTACTATGACCTTGACCACTACCTACAGCCGCTTGTGGTGTGATCGCGTACAGAAGCTCAGGGTCTCGCCCTGTATATTTAATAACTTTTGTCTGTAGAGATTATACAGTGTTATATGTGATGAGTAAGGTTTATAAATAATCGGCTGTGGTGTATTCCAAGGCTCTGCCACAACATTCATCTGGACACCCTAAGAAAAAAAACGCAAATCTTGGATGATTACCTCTTCCACGTTCTTCCCTATGCTTTCATTTGATATATACAGCATAGTATCTGCTGTTGATTAAATGTTAAATGAACCAAAAAATAAGACGTAGGGTTTGCGGCAAATATCGTCGTTTGGTAGCTTGTGTTACCCCCCACCCCCTGCGAGGGTAGGTATGTTATCAAATTATATGACGTCATCCAGGGAGTTTCACCAAGTAATGGAAACGGCAGATGGGTTAATCTATTTAAGCTGAAGACATGCTCCGAACAGAACTGTTGTTTGCCCAGCTTCAAGGTTGTTGTTTACAAGTGATGCTATATTCTAGATCAAGCATGTCAAACTCGCGGGCCGCATGCGGCCCAAAACGAATATTTTTGCGGCCCAGCCAATATAACGATATGTAAGAAACGTTTTAATAAAAATTTCGTAACTTAATTTGAAGACAAAATTGGCGTGCCTGGATTTTACAAATATTTACCTGCCAGGTTTGAAAATACTCGAAAATTCGCATATGAAATTATTTCCATGTTTGGAAGTACTTATCGGTGTGAGCAGTTATTTACAATTATGAAAGGAAATAAGTCTCCTGTCAGATCCAGAATTACTGACATTCACCTTGGGTCAGTTTTGAAAGTAATTACTGCGAAAGGAACAAATTTCCCCCGAAGTAGGTAAGATAGTAGCAGAGAAGGGATGCCAAGTGTCAGGAAGAAAACATTAATTTTATCGTTGTTCTTTTTTTTATACTATACTTTTCGAAATAAACCTACGTTTCTATGATTTTTTTTGCGGCCCACATAACTTGAACCTTGTTTATTTGGCCCGTGTTAGCCTTTGAGTTTGACATGCTTGTTCTAGATGGTTAGACCTGGCTACATGATAGTATGGATTCCGGTTGACACACATCGGGACTAAAACACTTTCGCCCAATTATGCGAAGTTCCACGTAAAGAGTTAAAAAGGTTTGTTCTTTAAGATTTGTTCCAAATAAACGGCTGCCCCGATTAACCGATGGCTCAATTAACCAGAATTTACTGTATTTGAAAATAAGTCATCTCGTATTAACCTCCATAAAAATCAGAAGGATAATATTACGCTTTTACTTCTTTCGTTTAATGGAATAAGACATTTTTGAACGAAGATTTTTTTTTTTGTAATAAGTTTCGCGTTTTGCCTCGCAGATTATATCTGTGACACAAAGTGCTTGTAGTGAACGCACACCTAAACAACTGAAGGCAGCAGAACGGCTTCTTCGGTGGCGTGTTTCATTTGTTCACAAAAGTGGCGCTGTAGATCTTGTTATGGCGGAAAAGAAAGGGTGGAGTGTTGTGTTCAAGGTCTCGTATAACGAATTTAAAGCTAATACAAGTGGATTTCGTTGGTGTTTAATGTGATGTGATATTAATTTATTACCGCTTGTTTATTACTAGCATTACAACCTACAGTTTCTATAATATATGTCATAATTTTATCACAGAAGGAAGTCGGCATTTCTTCGTATTGACTTCTACGGTTTGGTGCGATTATCTGTTGATGGTGTTGTAATTTGTCAGTGTTATGTATACTGGCAGATTAAAATAACTTATTTTGTGACAGGGTGTGTTTAGTTTATGCGATTTACAGACGTTAATGAAAATCAGGAAACTAAATAACACACTGGTCATGTCTTTAGTAAACAAATATTCCTTTATTTAATTTCGTTAGTTGTGGTGATTCGAGATTTTGTTTCTTGAATTTGTGCGAAGCGGAGATAAAGAAGGAACATTTGTAAAATGGGGAATATTTCAACAGAATTCCGTGGAAGACTTCGCTCCACCAGCGCACTTTATCTCGTGATATGGTAAGTACAAACACGCTTATGAATTTCTTTAATAGGTTCCATGTAGATTTGCTAAGCATCCTACACAGATTGGATTTACTTTGGAAATTCCGTATTATGACTAGTGTAAGCTACATTTTGCCGCTTTATTTGACCATAAGTATGTTACATACATAATGGAAGTGTATTTACTAGCATAGCACTTAGCTTTTGACAGCAATCTATAATATATTCTGGAAACGGTGTACAATCTTCTGGGATATAACGCGCTGTAGGCTTATAATTGGCAGAAACGTATTTCATTGATACACTAAGTTATCGAATTTGTAAGTTACGAATGGAAACATGTTTAAACTGTGAGATTTTAGGTTCTCGCCGCGGCAAGTGTGAAGATGGCTGTGTTCTATGTTGTTGCGTAGTGTAGTCTGTAAGGTGTTTACCGACGTTTGAAAGGTGCTTGCTGTCTCCATCATCAGGGCGATGATGATGGTGACAAGTACCTCCAAAAAGGTTGATAAACTACGTGTTCTGTATGACTTGGTTCACCAGCATATAATACAATTGCGCCATTCGACAATGTTCTTAATTTGCATGTTGCTGGTTAATTACTGTGCTCAGTGTGAAACTTATCTTACGATCCTGTGATCTGTGTGAGCAGACGTAATTAGTCGGGAGCAACATAGTGGTTGTCTGTCACGCGGCCGTTATGGTGTTTGATGCTAATGCTGAAACTCTTCTTGTTCAGTCAGTTAATTTGTCAGTTAACCTTTTAAACCAGAGGGGTTCTCAACCTTTTAAGACCTGGTACCACATTCACCTTACTTACTGACTCAAGGGCCGCCGGATTATGTAAATGAGGTCAATTTATTGCAACTGCATGACGTTTCATTAAAAGTGCTACATACAATTGGAAACAAGTCCACGTGTTCCTCAGTAATGATCTTTAACGAACTACATGGAGCAGAGTCCTGCTTGAGAAGCTGATTGTCGCTCAGCTAATCAAGGAATTACTCGCAAATTTGTTGATTTATTACTTTAAGTAATCACTTAAATTCTGATATTTATTTAATCATTAACTGATTTTAATGAAACGGAGTGACGGTATTATAAAAACTCACGCGGCCCGCGCAGAATTCATCGACCTGGGCTTAAAATCGTTGTTTTAAAGTTTTAATAACGTTTCAATAATATTTTAATATTACGTTCGTATATCCCAGAAAGCACGCGGCATCTCAGCTACAAAGAGCAATCTTTTAATGTTATGGAAACAGCTAGGGTCTGTTTCGATATCTGAACGGAGCACAGTACATTCTGGGGCGGAATGTATAATTACCTGACGTTAAAGCAGGTGCGCTACGAGAGGTTTTAGGTTCGCAATATTCAGAGTATAAATTTGTTACGTAGTTAACTGGTAATTTGTTTACTCAGTTGAAGAAATGTATTATCGACTTCAGTTTTACCTTTTGAACTGTTGGAATTTTTTGTGGGTCACTTATCTACACTGCAGTGTGTACTAGATCAGGATATTGTCTTAATCGACGATTTATTCGAATTATCTGTTTCACATTGATAGTATTTTTAGAATTGCAATAAAATAGATTCATAGGAACACAATGATAACAAAACTGTTTTAGTTATCTGTTTTAAATAAACAGCGTAATGTTTTGTATCTCCATCGTCATTTTGGTCTTTTACTGATCTTTTTTGTCTTCTGTTGTATTTCATTTTCTAATTTCACGTCTCCCCTTTCTTCTCTGACGTATTTTTCTTTTCCTTCTTCTATTCCTTTGTATCCTTTCATATCTTCCTCCTTAGTCATCATCCAACTGGTCTATGTATCGTTTCAGTTTCCGTCTCTTCCTTAGTCTTGCTGTAAGTTGTTTCTGACTTTAAATTTAGATTAGATAATGTTCTTAGGGATCTTACGGCCTTCCGTTCTGTGTGTAACGTATGTTACAGTAACGTTCCTCTGTAATTGTCTTCTCCATATGGAATACATCCGGGTCGCACCTCAGAACACACCTTTTCGAACAATAATTTGCTCGGTAAGTGTGTCATTAGTCAGTACAGTGACCGCCTGCGATCTGGGTGGTCTGAGTTCAATCCTCGTACTGAATTTTCCCCTTCACCATCAAGCCGAGAACATTCAGCCTCGGTGTGGGCCATTTTAGTTGCCCACTCAACTAAGCAGATGAAACTTTTCACTTTCGCCTTGAATGCCTGCACTTCTACATCTTATTCGGGAGGTTCCGGGTTCTAATCTGTGCTCGGAGACCAGATATCCTATCCGTTGCTTTTTATAGAAGAAACTGGAAAAGCATATTAAAATTGTAAACGGATAATAATTGTCACATATTTCCATTTCACAGCCCATTCTACCGTTCGACGGTAAGTGATCTGTGCATTTGAAATCAAGTCGTTAAATAACCTGATATTGTATTCGAATAGATCAGAATACATCAGAATACATCCAAAATCCTTGTGTTCACATGTTTTATAACCACCGTCCTTTCTCTTTCTTTGCTGTAGCCTATGGGTCGAACGTCTGTATTTGAAACAGCCCTGTTAAATCATAGCTAATTCCTACGTATCTCTACCCTAACTGGCTGTCACTTAGATTGTTTATGTATGCCCCTACATTTCTTTCTGCTAAGAAACAATAATGCCATCAACCAAACGAATGTTCGCTGTTGCTCTGCGGTGATTTCATTGCAAAGCCGCAATGATGGGTAGTTTCGGTATTAAAAAAACGCAACGAGTATTCACATGCGATAAGTAATGTCTAACAATTAATTACCTGACTGGATGACTATCTCTTTGGTATAATCATTGGCAAGCTACCTGGCGCATGAGCGACCTTTACGAGCGACTCGTAACGGTCGCTGTCGAAGTCTTCAGCACATCGTGCTGAAAACATTTATCTCAGGTTTCGGTTTTGGACAGCAGTTCAAGTCGTGCAGCATTTTCAATTGCTAGTTAAATTGCTATAAATTTTCAAGAATTATGACGTCACCCATACGCCATGTTTAGCGATTACGATAATAGCAGAGCCCTACGGACAAGCACTATCAGCATCGAAGATCGCCATTGGCTACAATCTTGACCAGTTCCATTCATTTTTCATCCTCTCAACCTACTTGTCAAAATTCCATCTTTGTGCTGTCCTCCCATTTAGTTCTGTTTTCCAAGTGCTCTGTTCCTAGAAAGTTATGTGAACATTCTTTGTTTCTCCCTATATTAGCTACATACCCAGCCTATCATATCCTCCTAGATTTCACCATTCTAAAATAATAGGCATAAATTACCAAGTTTCTTATGTAATAGCTGTCAGTTTCTGTCTCCTGTGACCGAAGTGTTCATGGTTCATAACTTGTTTAACAACGCCTTTTTAATTACAAGAGTAAATCACTTTGTGTGAGTGGTGGTTGTTAATGACAGATTGAAAATAATGCGATAGAAGGCTATCGTGGCCAGTCTAGAAATTGCCCGGATGTCGTAGGGGAAACTGAGAAGTTCTTTCAGTCAGTATAGCCGACAACTGCGCCGAGATTCGAACTTGAAATTTACAGGACAACCAGCCGTTCAGGACTTGGTCGATACACTTTCATAGAAACATTTTATCAGGTCCCGATATGCCCACACCGTCTTAAACATAAGTGTTTGTTTGGTAAAATAAATCGCTCACGAATGAATGATGCCTGGGTGTTGTGATAACAGTTACTGTGTGCTGATAACAAAAACGTCTGTACGTACATGTATTATGATCATAATATTCAACTATAACGTAACTAGTTAGTTAAGTACCAAGTTCTTTACCCCAATCTAGTGCCGAGGTCAAAAATGAGTAGGAGCTATACATACTCTCCCCTCAAGCGCGTACATGGAGTATAGTGGGACAGCTCAAAAAAATTAGATCATGCTGTCAGCCGGTCAGGGATTGATGCAGCGGAAGACAAATTGCCAGTTTGTTAATTTAATTTGCCGGCAGTAAGTCAGTCGGCCGCATTTCGTTTTTCGGCGCTGGTGTTTGTTTTCATTGGTACTTTGTCACCTGACAAGATAAGAAGCGGGAGGGAGAGCTGTGTGTACAGTCTGACCAAGAAAACTTCGGAACTATTTGTGCTACTCTTGTGTATCCACACAGGCTGTGTAAGCTGTGAGAATTTCATTTATTGCATATATTCTTTGATTCAGATCTGAGTAATTTCTTTGGCTGTTTCTTCTCCTGTGTTTACATTTTCTAGCTCTGTGTCAACCGCATTAATAAAACGAAATGGTTGAGTTAACATAAACGGTTAATCCCTGGTCATTTGCCTTAGTTGTCTTGCGCATAAATAATCAACTTATGTAACATGGCAACAAACCAGTAGTTTGTAAAGCCGCCGTGCCGAGAGACAAGTTGTAGGTCGTGGGTTATGTTTTGAAAATAATGTAAGTTTTTATGTTGTTTACAAGTGTGTCCATTGAAATTACATATGTAGTGATTAGTTTTAAAAGTGTAGGACCGAAGTTACATCAGAATTAAGTAACAAGAAACCACAGAATTCTGAAGAGAAATTAATTGTTCTCGCCGGCAGCAGAGAAACCAGTGTTGCCGATTGAACACGGACGGCTGCAACTTTGCAATCCCAGAGTGCCATCCTACCAAAATCCTTCTCGCAAAGGACAAGTTGTCTGATGGGATAATCTCCCATCAGTAGCAGTAGCCCCTGGTTCGAACAGTCAAAACTTTCAGCCACGATAGAATTACCGTTAACGTAAGCACACCACCGTTTCATTTTAAGGCACTGTTTACCATTTCCAGCAGTCCGTCTCGAGCACAGGAATGGTGTAATCTACCAAGGGACGATGTCTTTCGCTTGCACAGCCACCGCCCGTTAGCAATTGGCTGCTTGATCGGTATGGTTCTCCAGATATCAATTTGAAACCACCTGACACAGCTGCTAGCCCGAGATAAATTTATTACATTCTGGGATGAAACTCCTTGTAGTCTGGAATAAGTTCACAGGCGTTTCAGAGGT